CGGCCTGCAAAGGAATCCCAGCTCCGGTGCCTGGAGCAGCTCCTCCCCCTCCTGCACTGACCTTGGTGTCTGCATTCCCTCACATATTTCTCAGCCTCCTCCACTGGCAAAACTACTGTGAGCTCCCTTGTTTTGATTTCTTCTTAAATATGATTTCACAGAGGTGTAACCACCACCTTTAATTGGCCCAGGTTTCGTCAGTGGCAGGTCCATCATCCTCAGAGCCAACAGCAATTGGCTCTGCTGGACATGGTGGAAGCCTCCAGAAGCTTCTCACAAGAGCCATTTTTTTGGCCCCCCCACTTCCAAAAACTGGGCCAAGCAAAACCAACAGATTCTCCCATTCCTATCATGAGAGTTGCCTGACTCTAAAAGACGAAGAGAATGAGGCAAGGTATACTCCTCCCAGACAGGAAAATTTAAGAGGTTTTAGTAAAAGAACACATCAAAAATTCTTTGAAAATCATGATCTCTCAGCTMGATTTTCTTTTACCACATGCCTATTCAGAACACTCATATTAGTAACACAGCTTTAGTCTCAAAAAAAGGGTAATGTTTGATTCCCAGGCACACATCATATCATACTCTACCCTTGAAAATTAATTCTTTAAACTGCATGGTAAATTATTCCCCTCCAGCCAYCTGGATTGCATTACTTGAAAGTGACATGACATCCTCTTCCAGCAGAGTAATTTACAGTGCCAAAAGCAAAACAAGCTATTAATGTCCAGTGCAATAATCTTACYGTATATTAAATTGGGTAACTCCACAGGTTACACTTGCTAACTACATAGCTTACAAAACAATGACATTCCTACACCTTCCAGAGTCACCGCAGTTGTACTTGAGACTAGCTTGGAATAGASATGCTGTTAAAATCCTGCCGTTTGAGCAGTCATTTTTATGCTCTGTTAATCTATCTGTACTCCAAAAAAATCAAAACTGTCTCTAAGACCCACTTATTTCAATGACTGTGAACAGCTAAACCTCCCATTTTAACCACAGAAATGACTTCTCATTTAGCCCATACGGATGAYCAAATATATAGTTAAATACATTCCTGAAAACATATTTTCAAAGCATATAATGAAAACATTAAAAGGAATTTACATAACAACAAGAAGAAACGATCTCCTGAACAAGATCCTGGTTGTCAAAAAAAAAGTAAACAGGTAAAGTTTAAGGTTCTAAATAACAATTAGCATTAAAGTAGACAGCTTACAATATGGGATTTTGTCTAATTTCAAGTAGTATTGAATATACTCTAGAAATTCCAACATTACACAATAAGAAATTCTGCATGAAATKAAACATTACTCTAGCAGTGAAACCAGCTTTACCTTGAACAGGTAATCTAAAATCTGGGAGCGATAAGGTTCTTGATAGTTCACCAGAAGTCTAGACGTAGCCTAAAATGGAAAGAAAATGTAAAAATATGAAAAAACRCAACTTTCAAACATTTAAGTACATCCCACCTTTTCAGTCCAGGGCTTTCACATAGCTAATAAACCYGCACAAATAATTATAGCACAAGAAACTCAGCTAAGCCCCTAAACTCGTTTCTAAACCTTTAGTTGCGCATTTATGTAGTTTCACAGGTTGCAACCGCCTTGTACTCCAAATACCTGGAATTTACTGCAGAGTCCAGAGAACACAGAAACAAAGAGATCACACGGTTTTATGACAAGCAAATGAGGCTCCCTCCCAGCACCATTTCTCCGGCTCTACTCAACTCTCCCTTGCCCCACACGCCAAAGGCAACAGAAGCTCACGGGGCACACAAGCAGGAGGCCAAGGAAAGCATCTCAGCAGGTCCAAGAGTGGGTAAAAGCTCCGACAATCTCACGGCTATTGCTGCCTGGACCACATGAAAGACGACAAGCGGCTGTGGCTCGTCCAGCAYTTCAAAACGGAGGGACTATTAAGACCCTCTACATAAACACCACCCTGGCTTATCTCTCCTCCACAGGCACCCAGGACATGGCTGGTCCTGGGCACCCCGAAAGTCCCTGTGCAGGTGACAGGAGGGCYGGCGCAAAGCGGAGCCCGGCTCCATCTCCCCCCGCAGCCGGACCGCTGCCCGCACCGCTCCCCTCAGCGCCTCCGGGCCTCCCTCGCCGAGCCCGTTCACGTCGTGTGTGTCCCCACAGCCGCCAGCCCTCAGCGCTCCTCTCCGCGACACCCCGACCCAGGCCCCGCCGAAGCCACCACACGCTCCCACTGAAGGGATGCCCAGCCCAGGTGTCCCTTGTTGGCCGAGGAGGGCACCAGCACCGCAGCCCCGGAGGCGCCGCTCACCCCGCCGCCGCTGACAGCCCCGATCCCGTCGAACTCCCTGCCCAGCCCGTCGGTGTCGTCCAGCACGTAGGTGTCCSTCACGAGCGGAGCGGCACCGACCCCGGGGGGCCCCGGGCCGCAGCTGCAGCCAAGCAGGATCGTGCCCCAGAGCAGCGCCGCGCAGCCCATCTCCATCTCCATGTCGATCTCTCTCCCGGTGCCGCTCCAGCTCCGCTCTCTCCCCGTCCGGCGGCCGCACCGTCCCTGCAGCGACTCCGCACTGCCCGGCAACGCGCGGCACGTGACGGCGCGGCCCGCCAGCCCCGGGGCGGGGCGATAGAGCCCGGCGCCGCCATCTTGCTCAAGGGAAAGCGGGGGCGGGCGGGCTTCTCGGCCTTCACGGGCAGCTCCGCCCCGGCCGGAGTCAACTGCTGCCATCTTGGGAAAGGGCAAGGCAAGCTGGTGAGGCGTGTGCTGCCATGCTGGAGTTGGGCACTGAGCGGCGAGTGAAGCTGTTGCGGGGCCATCCTGGGTGTGGGCAAGWGGCATGGCCGTGAGGCCAGGCAGGGTTTGTGCGGGAGTGCATCGGGTCTGGCGTTCATCGGTTACAGCCGCGCTAGGCCCYGAGTCAGGCCGACCCTCTTTTTCGGGGCCTCTGACGCCTTTTGGGGCCCCTGGCAATGCACGGTACTTGCCCCGGGCGAGGAATGGCGTTTCCTAGTGTGTCTGTCATTCCCAGGCCCCGGCCAGCACCTCGCAGTCAGTTTCCTGGTTTTGCCCCGCTCGCAGGCTGCCGCCAAATCCCTGGAAGAGTCGGCACGAAGCGGCGCTTTGAAGGAGCGCATTCCAGCGGGGCATGAGACGAACCTTTGATCGCCACAGGGCAGAGGCAGAGGCAGGGAGCGCCCCGGGCCCCGCGCCAGGCCCTGCCCCGCACAGGTTGCCCTTCCCGGGGAATCCCAGTTGGCCCCAGTCAGATCCGCAGCTGTGTCAGCGGGACCCCAGAGCGGGATGCTGAAAGTGGGATTTAAATTATGATGGGCTGAACGAACCTAAGGGGGTTCGTTCGCCTAAAGGGGGGCGCTGTAAGGCAGCCGTATCAAAATGTGAGCAGCCCAGGTGGTGCTGTGCCGCACGCCAAAAATTTCCGTGAGGATTACCAGGGTGTTCTCTCAAACTCCAGCTCATGCAAGCATTAGGCTCGGAGGAAAAGTAACCAGGAGATCGGCGATCAGTTTGATTATCCTGTAAAAATTCATAATGGGGAGCTGTCTTGTCTGTTGACCTCAGTATTTCATAGAGGAGATGGTTCATATGCCTAAGGGGAATGAGGCATAAGGAGATGCAGTGGCTGATGTCCTGCGTTGTGTAAGAGTGTGAAAAAGCCCAGGTTTTGCACGTTTCTATCCATAAAGAAGGCTGTTATTTGAGCCTCTGCCTCTCTTGTCATTGAGGGAACTAATGTCTCAGTGATGACATTACCCGACTGACGTTTCCTGTTTATTTCTTTTTAAATAACAATACCAAGCACTCACAAAACATTTTGCACTTTACAGCAATATCAAGTATTAACTAATGAACCTGCTCACACCCAAATGAGCTATATGATATCATTATTATATGCAGAAGGACAGAGTGACTTCCTCAGGGCTACACTGAGTCAGTGCCAGAGGTTACATTGTGCTCATGGGCCTATTTCACATTCATTCCAGCAGACTGTACAGCTTTGCACACCTAGAAGGTTTGCAAAACCATCATGAATTATTAATTTGTTAATTTTGATTGTTTCATTGATTAATGGATTGATTTATTTCATGTAAAAGGYTTCAGCTGTGAATTCAGTCTCTTATTCACTCATTAGATCCTAAAATTGTCAGTTTTCAAAACTCATATTGGGACTGTATGATGTGCTGAGTGCCAGCCCTTTTCAGTGGGTRTAGAAAAACATTCTCAGAGTCTGTATTGGTGGAAGGAAAAGGATATTTTGATGTGATTCTCTGAACTTTTATTCTRTATCACAGATCTTGACTATGTGTTGAACCCTTCTTTTTTCTTGACACCTTTGTTCATGGATCCTKTGTAAGCCCAAATTTACCAATAAAATTATTGAGAACTTACTCATTGCTTCTTTTGTAGATAAGATGGTTGTCAACTTTTAATGTTTTTCTATTTCAGTGGAGGGTTTTTCTGCTGTTTTTGTTTTTGKTTTTTTTTATTRATAGTACTTTGATCTCAGCAAACACTAGCTGTTGATGACTGATCTACTTTGTATGTTCAGATCTCAAAAAACCCTGGAAAATTGTGGTGGAAGTTATATCGGAAATTAAATTGTTGCACATGGACACGGTTAAGAGCTTATTTTTACATATAGCTTTTACTTCCAGAATGCATAAAAGGTATATCGTCTCCTCTCTTGCTTTCAATTCTGCTATCAATTGTCACAGCAAATAACTGTAGAAATGCTTCAACTATTTTTTTTAATAAAGATAAGAACTTTTTTTTCTTCAGCAAAGTACAGGAATGCTCAACAAAATAGGAGAGCCAGCACACTGGACACTGTTCTTGTTTGGAAAAGGYGGGTGAAAAGTGATGAAACAGGTCTTTGTCTAATTATTTTTCTCTCAATAAAAATGAGGGTGTGACTGAAATTTATTTTAGAGATTTATCTACCCAAGTCTTCCATTCACCATACTGGAAGGGACTATTATAATAGATTGAGAGTGGCCACAAGTATTTAATAATTTAGGCTTCATGTAATAATCAGATAAGTAAAAAACTGTGGATGAAAAAGTCATGCTCTGACGGGGAAAAAAAAAGGAACCAAATCTCCACATCCAGTGGCAAATACTACAGAGCTGCCTGGTATTCTCAAGGAAGCCAGTATGCCCCTATTTTAGAACTTTTCAATTTGTTCTGTTTCATTTCTCCTTAGCATCTGAATCATCAAACCAGGCAGTTTTTGTATTACTCAACAGWTGGACATTTCAAGTGAAATTGTACCCATTTTCCCAAAGCAGAATTGTATTGTTCCAAACAGAATTTTAGAAAAAATACACACAGTAAATTATTCTGATCACAGAGGGGAAAAAGAACTCTGCTCATGTAAMAACTTTCCACCTGTCTAATTGAATAGAATTATCTGTTAAAATAATCACTTCTATGAAAACTCCATCCAACCTCMGATTCAGTTTATATAAAAATACATAAGTATGTAACCTGTCACAATGCATAAAATGTTGTTATCCATTGTTAACTAGAACTATTCACAAACTTCTCGTAAATTCAAACAATACCTAACTTTTTCCACAAACTCCTAAAGTCATTGTGATAAATTTTTGAGTTCTTCCTAGGTGGATTCTTATTTGATTCTGTGATAAATTTGTAGGGAAAAACAAGTGAGGTCCTTCAGTCAAAAAAAAAAAGGAACTATATTTTGAACATATACAAGTAAACATAAATGAAAAACAGTATTTTATTTCAGTGGATTGTTTTTCTCTGCAGGATGTAATGTGTCCTAGATAAAGGGTGTAAAATATACTACACTCATATAATAAGGCAATATTTTCAATTGAACTTTTACAGACTCTTTAAAAGTATTCCTAGATCTACTGAGGTTGGTACCATCCTTTGTTCACACTTCTTTGTAATTATGTTTTCTTTTTTCTCATGGCTAAGGTTAGATTAACAAATAATTGGGGTGGGGAAAGAAAAAAAAAAAAAGGAAGCAAAACCAAGAGATGTGTGAACTGTTGCCTGTTTATCAAAGAGCAGCTTCCTGTCTCTGCATCTGATAAAGCAGAAGCAGACACTTTCCTTAGAAGCAGACACAGGTTACAGTGCCGCTGGCGTAACAGGGGAACCGCTGCACAGGGACACGTGGCTGCCAAGGTAAGCGCTCRGGATCCGGGGAGTCAGGTACACAACCACACTGTGGGACAGGGTTCAACCCAGCTATCCCCTAATGGATGCTGACATCTTACAGCAGGAAGAAGGGACACAAAAGGGGCTGGAAAAGATTGCTTTGGGAGAAGGATGATTTCAATTTGAGCACAACCAAAACATGAGACTAAGGCAAATGACATCAAAAGATTGGATTAGGAAAGATGTGCCTGGGATTAAGAAAGAAAGTTTGATTGTTTGTGGTAAGGGCATTGCAATGATCAAAATACTGTTGACTACAAAAAGGGGGAAGAATGGAGAGCAACTGTATTTGGGGGTGAGTTTTCAACATTCTAAGCTGTCCCATCACTGCAARAAGTGCCCCAGGCCTCACAAGGGGTTCCAGTAACTCTTCTGTTATTGTTCTTCAGTATTGTAAGCCACTAACAAAATACCCAGTGCTATTTATGAATATGTGATGAATATTTGATGAAATAAATGAATTTAGGAATATTTCTTTATGAGTATAAATGAATATTTTTATTATTTTATGAAWATACACAATGATTCAAGCTTAGTAGAAAAGTAAGCTTTGGTCAAAGTAGCATCTTAGAATGTCAAGTATCATGCATATGAAAATGTTTTGTACATCTTTCCGTATACATAGAAGAAACCGTGATACACATAAAAATAATACTTGCCTGCATGGCCTACATCCTAAAAACGTGTTGGGTTTTTTTTCTATTTGCTCACATAAACATAAACATAAACAGAATGTTTGTGCTCAATGAAGCAATCTCAATCTTTGAGTATATCTCAAAGTTAAAACTGCTGAGTTCTTTTAGACCTATTTGAGTCTCTACAGAATTTCATGGAGGCCTTTGGGTGAAATTTAATGTTGCATGAAGAAAAATGCTGTCAATTGTAAGCAAAAACATCCATGTTACTGAAAGGCATATTTCAACTCTCCTAAATGGTGAAGTTTTTCAGAATTGAGTTTTGAGATCTGCTCATTAAATTAATAGAATCAGCTATGGAATGTCCTTTGTACTTGAGGAAATCAGCTTAACAATAGAACTTATTTTGATAAAAGAAAGCAATCTACTTTGTTGAAATTGCTTTAGAGAAAAAAGAAAGCCACCTCTTTCCATCTTATGACTGCTATACAGTATCACCAGTACAGCAGCTACTACACTAGCTCACACAGCATTGTTCCATTCTTCCCTTACAAAGTTRTTACAGATAAGAATATGGAATATCCTTTTGTATTTATGCTTATGAAAGTTTATACTTTGTGACATTCAAAATGTCATCAATAGAGAGATCAGGTAAAGCTCTCTTTGAACCTGAAGAAGATGCTGTAGAAATGCATTGTTACAAATACAATATGTAATGGCTACTTTTCTCTAGAAACTCTCACAATGTTCCTTTACAGGCTTGTTTACATACATTACTTGAAGCATAATATTTTCTACTCTGTTTCTCTAAATTTTATATCTTACTGACTTTTCAGAATTCCTGTGCAGTGGGTTTTCTGTAGAAAAATGACAGAGGCGAGAGCCATTATAATAATTGACTAAGGTGTCTAAAAAATTACTGTTTAGAGTTTTAGGGGGTTTTATATTTGAAACATCTGATACTGAAATGAGCCTAAAAAAATTGTCACAAGTTATGGAATTAGTCACAGCAGGTTTAGACCATGAAAGTCGAACCATTAGACTATATCATTAAAATAAATGTCTCTATCAAAATTCCTTTATAGTTAAAAAATAAAAAAACAAACCAGTAATTGGGGAAAATTATCAAATATTGTCTTTTAGGATATCTGTAATCCAATACCATTATTCTAGGCAAAAGCAGCAGGTACGCTCAGCAGCTGAGAGAAAACTTGGGAATGCTTCAGATCATGCATTCAGGTAAGAAAAATCATTCTGCATTACAAAGTCCTAATTATCATAAAAACAACTAAGCAACAAAGTATAATATGGGCTACTTCCTCTGAAATAAGGCCCAAAGCAACTTCAGTGAAATGTGTTGTAATCAGGGCAAAGCAGTGCTTTCTGCTTTTATATTTCTGTGAAAGAAACTGCAGCATGCATTGTGGTAAGCTTCATTTGCTGGTTCTTTGACACGTTTAACTATAGGTCATCAATACGTGCCAGAATGACACACTTCTGGTTATTACTGTCATTGAAAGCATGTCCTAATAAAAGCATTATCGATGTGTCATCAGAATCTGGACATGGATTATCTGGGCAATGTCACACAGCCTCCAGGGCTGTATTCATCAGAACTAACAAACACATTGGTTAAGAAGGAAAGAAAGCAATTGGGTCCATTGGCCTGTGAATATCAAGGACAGAAAAAAGCTTTCTGAGGTGACAAATTTCATGTGGTCTCAACTCATCTGATGGAATTTCATGTTTAGTATCCCAGCCTGCCATTAACCAATTACACCCTCTTTCCTTAAGGCAGATTGCAGAAGAGCAAAGCAAAGTTTTGCCCCAAAGAACATGTGGTTTATTCAGACAAGTGCAATATAAGGACAAGTGCTTTACCTTAAGGACAAGTGTTTTACCTTATGATCAGTGAGATCAACGGAGCAAAACTCTTAGAAATAATGAACGAAAATAAGAGAGCTGAAGAAAAAAGGGTGGTATGAGGAAATTGGCATGTTGGGCTGTGTGTAGATATGAAAGAAGCTGTTGTGAGTAACACAAGAAAGCTTGAGAGCTTGTAAGGATGGCGAGTCTGTAATACAACAAGTTAACAAAAGAGAAAGAGTTTATGGGGGAGGGAGGAGGAATTCCAGTTTCTCAGTCACAAGACTGGTAAACACTGCCTCACAGACTTTCTGCATTACACACAGGCTTCTGAAAGGGCATGTTTCCCTCTTAGACATGAAGAGACCTGTCATAGAAAAAGAGATGCTAAAATGTGATTAGGAGAAGAGGTAGGTATTTTATCTTTGATTCATCTGGTCTGTCTGCATACACTTGGTTTCTTTTAGGTGAGAAGTGAGTCACAAAACCCTGGGATCAGATTTCTAGAGCTAGATTTTTATTTTATGATACTTCTCTATGCTGGTAAGCTTACAATGCCCTATTTACTGTGTGGTTTAATGAAACCAAGCCAAAATGCAGACATCTTATGTTTGTCTTACATATAGACACTGCTTTTTTTTTTTTTTTTATTTTTTTTGTCATTATATTGGTTAAGTTCCTTAATGGACCAAAGTGGCAAGTCCTTCTCAAGAATTTTCTTTGGCTTTCAGGCTTGTGAATGGGTTTAGTTCTAGCTGATAAATTAGACCACTTGATCAAATAAAGCAGTGGCAGGGAAAATTGAATACATGCTTTCTGGCTAGTTTTGTCACTGCTCCATTTTTTTTTATGAATAATCATGAAAGGGGCTTTTTCATAGACAACAGGTCCATGTAATAACCTCTCAGCACAGGCAATAAGCCTTTTGGGGTTTTTCTGATAAACCCACAAACACATCAAACCCATAAAATTTTTCTTATTACATGGGAAAGTTTCTGCACACAAGTTGTATTCTGTTGGCGTTCTTTTCCACATGGGGACAGTTGTAGGTKTGCTATCTTGCAACCTACTTATTCTTCAGCCCACTCACCTCCTCTGCTGCACTCCAGGCTCAAAGCACAGATGAGTTATCGCAGCAGTCTCTGAAGCAGTATATTTGGCAGCATAGCTGGACTGCAACCAGTATTTTCCATTCTTGTATTTCCTGAACATAACAAGTATGTCTCTAGAAAAGAGAGACACTCTCTGAGTGTCAGAGCTGTGATACAATCAGAGAACACACACACAACTCCTCCAGTCTCACTGCTTCACTGAGGGCTGAAGCTGTTGATAACCACAGTCCTGGAAGTGACTCAGAAAAGTTGAATTGCTAATGGCTTTATAAGCTCATGCATCACAGCTGCAATTTTTAGAGGGAAGAAGTGTAAATGAAAAATTGTACTCAGAGTCTCCACATGTCCAAAGGGACACCCAGCATATTCTCATGTGCATGCAGGAACCCAATAGCCTGCCAGGTTTCACATGAGGGTCCTGCTGGAATAGTACTRTTGGTGACAAGTTCTTGTGGGATCACATACAAAGGAGGAGAGAGGAAGCAGGGATCGGTGAGGATGCAGACAAGAGTGATTTGCAATAGGAAGATATACCAGACACACATTTTCCTCTTCTGAGCAGATCCTAGCATCCAGCGGTACCTGAATCCTTGTATTTCTATCCTTGTCACTCCATTGCCTTAAAGGAGAGGAGGTTGTTTGAAATAAGAAATCTGCCATATTTATATTCCCAAAACAATACCAGAATAAGAGAAWGCGCACATCTATTATTTGATTTTTGGTCCACTTTCAGATCTTTAACACTCTCATGAGAGAGACCCAGGATTGCAGGACACTACCTCATCCCCAGAAGTGTCTTAGCTACTCATCCTGCTTCTGCTGTAGAACCTTGCATCTAACTGACATTGACCATCTTAGATTTTGGGTTCCTTTTCCTACGTGTTCCTAGCTCCAGGAGTGTCTACATCCTCTGATCTCCTACAAACACAGTTTCTTTCTTCTGAAAAAAAAAAAAAAAAAAAAAAAAAAAAGGTATACACCAAGAATCCCATAAAAACTAACAGAAATGTTGTAGCTGACATTTTTCCTTTTTGGTAACAGAAAGCTGGAATCTTGTCAACCAGGTCCTGAAGAGCTAACAGATGACAACCCACCAGACTACACAAGGGTTTTTATTGCACCCAGGCTGGAGTTAGCCCAAGGACRCTACTGCAGTGGACAATGGACAACAACACTGTTGAATGCCATGATGATCACACCCTGGATAAGTATTTGTTTCCATTTGTGTACAGCATTGTGATGATGATCAGTATTCCCATCAACTGCATATCCCTCTATGCATCTTGCATTCAGGTGAGRAAAAAAAATGAGTTAGCAGTCTACATCTTTAGCCTGTCCCTGGCCGACCTTTTGTACTCTTTGATTCTGCCTCTCTGGATTGATTATGCCTGGCATGGAGATGACTGGAGGTTCTCTGCCTCCCTTTGTCAGATTTTTGCCTTCCTTATGTATATGAATTTCTACACCAGCACCGCATTCCTTGCCTGCATCTCTATCGACAGGTACCTGGCATTGGTTCACCCCCTGAAGCTCCAGTTCTTGCGCACAAGAAGRTTTTCATTGATTGTCAGCATGATTGTTTGGCTTCTGGAAAGCATCTTTAATTCAGTCATATTGGTGTACAAGGAAGTATTCAATGATCCTTGTAATTTCACTAATCACACATTATGCTATGATAATTACCCGCTGGAAAGGTGGCAGGCGAACATAAATTTATTCCGAATATGCTCAGGGTACTTGGTCCCTTTGACAATCATCATGTTTTGTTACCATAAAATCTACCAAGTAGTGAGATATAACCAAGCCACAGTAGATGAAGAAAAGAAAAAAGTGAGAAAACTTATTCTAAGCATCACAGTTAGTTTCATTGTTTGCTTCACTCCTTATCATGTTGTGTTGCTTATTCGCAGCATCAAAGAACCTTCCAACACGGACCAGCATCTTTTGTTGTTGATGTATAAGGTTTACAGAATCACACAGGCCTTAACAAGCTTGAATTGCATTGCAGATCCCATTCTGTACTGCTTTGTGAGTGAAACTGCACGAACAGAGATAGTGAGTTTGCTCAGGTGTTGTTTGTGCCTACGAAAGCRTGAGGAAGACCAAGTGAAAGAATATGCTCTGTGCAGTTCTCCTACAAAAAGCAGTGCACTGATCACCTACAGAACCTCCTGTGAAACACAGACTGTCAAAAATTCTTGAATGAGTGCATGCAAGGGAAAATTGGATAACCTTAAAGGAAAAGAAAGAAAAAWTCTTCTCTGCTCTGTACCCAGGAAATGCCCCAAAAGTCAGAGATACCAATCTAAGCAAAACTGGTAGCTGTAGTCRATAAGAACTTACTATTGGGTCAATGAAATCAATGGAGCATCAACATGTTTTTAAATCAGGTATGGTATATAAATCAATGGCAACAAACAAATGCACAGTCAAGGATGGCTGTGCCATGCTGATGGAATTACTGAGGATTCCCCACGGAACTGTCTCCTGCTRCAGATTGCTTGCCAGCCTGCTGCAGTGTGCTTTGCTGGAGAGAGGTTGAAGGCCTCTTTGTCCTGACTAAAAAAGGAGCAGACAGAGGGACTGTGGTAAAGTTCTATCATTTCATGGTGTAATTTATGCTGCTATGATGGTTCCTGTATTTCTTAAAAGACTCAGAATTCTTCAGCATATACCTGAGATCAGCCACTTCTTAAAATTGTTTACCTCCTGTGTACAGGTACTTACCTGCCCTTAACTTTTTGTTTTCTTTGAAAAACATATGTTCTAACATATAACTGTATGTCATGCTATTTCATTATAAAACCAGTATTGGGTTTCAGATAGTTGAAGTTCCATTACTTCAGGTGCCTATAAAGAACCAAATTGTAGCCACCAGTGTTTTACCTTGGATGAAACTTTTCCTGATACATGCAGAGAGGAGAAGGATAGAAAGGTGAGGTTTCACATCTCCACAACATAAAGGGTCAGCCTTTAGGGYTGCTAATTATGACTGAAATCCGGAGTGTCGGTGGAGTGTAGTGGTTCCATTTCCAGACTCATTAGAGCCAGGTTTGCATCCATTTACTTTACTGTCCATGGGAGCTTCAGGTTCCAGGGCTCTCAATCTGCCAATTTTTAAAAAATTAAACAAGCAAGTTGGCAATGCTGACAAGCTACCAAAGAACAAATAGTAAGAATGGAAGCAAAAGAACTCACATTTTGAAAGAGTTGACATTAGAACAAATCAAAAGTGAAGCTGTTAGTTCAGGGACCTGTTCATGTGCAGCCCCAGAAACAGCTGCCTGGCTCCCTGGTTCCCTATCCTCTCCAGACACTTGATCTTCTGAAAAGTGTTAAAACATTATGTAAAGTCTCTATTTTTSTTCTCTCACAACTTTGTGCTTTTACTCGATTCCCAGGAAAATTATTGGGTTATGGTGGTTTTTCARTTTTATAGAGAAAGAATTTTTCTTTCCATAAAAAAAAAATTGCCCTCTTGCAAATTTATGTGGCAGAAAGATTTTGACCAGCACTTTCAGCATCCTTTTAGGTCTGACATTATGTATGGTGGATGTGCATAAAGTGGKCACAAGCAATAAGAAATTTCTTATGAGAATATCCTTCTGTGTGTAAATTAAAATTTTCTTCATTGCAAAGAGCATTCCATTGTTTTTGTGAGTTGCTCTGTGTGTGGCTGTACTTTCGTTTAATTTCACATTCTGAAGTGGGAGCTTGCCAGGCTGTGGAAGCTGGGCTTGTTCAGCCTGGAGAAGAGRAGACTTTAGGAGACCTAATGGCAGCTTTGCAATCCTGCAAAGAGGGTATTGAGATGATGGGAGCCAAGCTCTCCACAAGAGCTTTGAAAGCAGGAGTGGTGTGGTTTAGCCTGGCTGGAAATGGAGCACCATGCAGCCACTTGCTCAGCCCCCTTTTGTGTCCCTCACAAATAGGTGGAATGGGGAGGAGAATCAGAGTAAAACTTCTAGATTGAGATAAGAAGTTTAATAATGGAAAATAAATTAAAATATAATAATAATGTTTTTTAATAATAAGGGAGGAAACAAGTGACGCACAATACAATTGTTCACCACCCACTGACCGATGACAGACCCCACCCAGATCAGCCACCATTCTGGGTAACTTCCCCCAGATTATATATTGGACATGACATTCTATGGTGGGGAATATCCCATTGGCCAATTTGGGTCACCAGTCCCAGCTCTGCTCCCTCCCAGTTTCTTTTGCTCACCTGCTCGCTGGCAGAGCATCAGACAAAAAGAAAAAYCTCCTTTGCTTAGGATAAAGACAACTTAGCAAAAAACCTAAATAAATCAGTGCGTTATCAACACCATTCTCATTCTGAATTCAAAACACAGCACTGTAACAGCTACTGAGATGAAATTAACTCTACCTGAGCTGAAACCAGGAGAAGGAGGGACATGAAACCATGCATAACTTGAAGCTAGAAGGGTCAGAGTTGATATAAGGAAGAGCTTCTGAACTATGAAGAACTGATAAGCTGTGGAGCAGGTTGCACCAAGCTGTTCTGTGTGCCCCATCCTCTGGTTTTCAACATCCAACTCAACAAMGTTTGAGCAAAGTGTGGCCTTGTAGCTGACCTTCCCCTTAGCAGAAGGTTGGACTTGAGATTTCCTGAGGTCCCTTCAAACCACCACTATCCTGTCATCCTCTGGGTAGTCRCTATTCTGACTGTTGCCTTCCTCTCTAGAAAATTACCTTCCCTTCCCTTTTTTATTTCCATTTGCTGGATTTTGGTTTGATGTGGGCTTGCAATTCTGATTTGTTTTTTTTTTTCTTCTGTGGTTCCTTCTTATATATTATGAAGGATAAGTTGTGCAAGCAGCAGTGCAAGTTACATCATCATGGATTTTTTCCTGTGCTGACCTATGCATTTTGCAACAGAATGTGAAATTTCATTGCAGTATTGGAATAAAAGCAGAACCAAACCTCACTGTAACTTCATAGAAAAAGGAACTCAGTGATTCATTTTTAAATCTTTCACGTGTCATAAAGGTTGGAAAGTTAAATCTATTTGGGCTTTTAATTTAAAGAATTTAAAAATTAATTTAAAGAATAATGAATACTAAAGCTAAGCAACAAAACAGAGTCAAATTTAACCTCTGTGTCTGGGAGTAGTGAGAGCTGGCAGCTCCGCAAGGGGCAGTGAGCCAGGAGCCRAGGGTGACAGCCAGGCAGACTGGGCAGAATCGTCACCAACATGGCACAGTCCCACCRGACCCCAGAAAGGCACAGGAGCAGGTCTGGCCAGCTGTTCTGTGATCACCAGACAAATCTGTGGTGACGAGGCAGCGCGGGGTCAGGCCAAGCCAGGAAGGCAAGGTGGGGTCAGCGGGTGCAAGGTTGGACGTGGCAGTGCCATGTCAGCATTGCCTCTGCATGAGCAGCCAGTTCCTGAGGTAGTAGAAGAGATCACAGACTCAGTTGGTAAAGTTAGGGCCCTGAGCCTCTGCAAAAAGCTTAATTTCAAAAAATTTGGCCCTGGAATTTTATATTCTTTAATACTGCACCATTGCTCATGACAGCCATAGCTTGGACCAGCTGCCATTGGTATATGGGATGTTTTCAATAGTGTCATTTTCTATGCATAAAAGAGTTTATGAAATTCACATGTCTGTTCAATTGCAAGAAGAAAGGCATACAAATTCCATTTTCCTTGCAGACAATGCCTACAAACATTAGTGTATGGTCTCAGTGAATCACTATATTTCCTATCTCACTTCAAATCAATATAATAAGAATAGGTATAATTAAAAGGTTGTGATGATAATTAAATTAATGTCCACAGGGTATGAAATGTCAGTGTCACAGAATACTGCTGTCAGCTTCATAGCAGCAGGGGTGACTTTGTCTATCAATAATTCTCTTAAAACAGAATCTGTCTGCCAAAAGTCCAGCAAATATATAGCTCAGCTTCATAAGTTGAGGGATTTTCAGTGAACTGGGGTGACCTAGCTGGTGGAATTTAAGACATTGCTTGATCTGTTTTTTTCTCAGAATCTTAGAATCATYAAGGTTGGAAAAGAGCATTAAGGTCATCTATCAGCCACAACCTGCATCCCCMCAGATCATTATTCTGTTCTGATGTAGCTACGCATAAGCTTCACTTGGTTAATGGCAGTGCAGCCAGTCCTGACTCACAAGGCTGTAGGCCAACAGAGAGACCTGCTCAGCCTGTGGCTCTTTCTTTTTCTTTTTTTTTTTTCAGTGTCTAACACACCTAACTTCAGAACCACTGAAAAAGATGCGAAGAAGTATGAATTTGAGTTACACGGTTAATGTATTCCATTTCCTCTTTCCATTCACAGAAAATGACGCTACTGAAATAATTCTTGTAAGTCTGGTGACAAGCCTTCAGCGATGTCACTTTTGATTAAATGCCAGTAGAAAAGGGAGCAGTGGGCCGTAGTTTAGTCCTGTGCCACTTTCCATACTAACTACCAGTTTCATCAGTGTCATCATCAAGTCTAGTTCTCTGTTTTCTAAAGTGGTGAAGAACCRAACTATTCATTTGGTCCCACCTCCACAGAGCAGAGAGAGAAAATGTGGGTGGGAGGATATGAGTTCTTGGGACCATCAGGACCACAGCTGCAGAAAATCAGCGTGTTCAGAACAAGGCTGCAGGGAAGGAAAGCAAAGCACAGCTCTGAGCTCAGCAG